AACAGCTTTTTGATTAGCTTTCTTCTCTGTATATTCTACTGTTCTAATGTATTCGCTCTCTCTCTCTTTTTGTTTGTATAATTCACATACGCGTTGTTTCATGCCTACTTCGCAGCTTATCATTCGTGCTTGCTGTGAATAAACAATTCATTGTTGCTTCACATCATTGTTTGCTCTTCTGATGAATTCTTCGTTGCTATTATGCACACAGCCCTCCTCAATAGGATGCATGCTTGCAAAATGAAATTAAAACAAAAACAAAAAAAAGGAGAAAAACAGACATACATGAAACAGAGCACATCGGTTTGTTTTAATATGTACGAAAAGCGCTGCTTGAAAAAGAAAAGAAGCGAACAGCATAAAATTGTAAAACTTTCTTTCCAACATCAGATCACAGTTTCTTTTCAAAAGGTGAAGGTGGGTGAGGTGGATAAATCATTATGAGAATTCGAGAAAAAAGACACTACTTCAAATGTTATATTTTAGTACCAAGATATTGTGAATAGTCTAATTCGTTTTCTAATTATTTGATTTCAGCGTATGGATGCAGGTCCTGACTAGGGCAACACAAATACACACACGCACCCACACTCCCTAGATAAATTGGCAGGCTAATGAAAAACGTTTCGGAGGCATATTACGTCCTACGCGGTTAAGTCTATATTAATATCATAGCGCTACCGTGTTTCTGTATTTTAGATTGTAAGTGGAGAAAAGTTGCATCGACAATTTTATTTTAGACTAGACATTTCATGGCACAAGAATCTCATAATAGAAAAAGTCAAACAGTAAAGTTTCGGGATCATACTGTTGAGATACAAACTGTTATTATTAATGGCATCGAGTGCCTGCGTCTGAGAGATGTTCAAAGAAAATTTCCAGCGGTGAAGATCCTGTCTATAGATAACATATATCAAGTATTCCTTCACGATGAATATGGTAATGATCTCGAACCGTTGCGTATTGCTGCATGCATTGACCAAATTGTTGAAGCAGAAGAGTCTGTGGAACATTCCTATAATGAAATTCGTAGCGACCTAAAGGATATTAAAGGTATAGTCAAGCGTGTGGACATCAATGTACAGGAGATAATGCGCCAGATTGCTAATGTGATGAGGCAAATGTATGAATTGCATGAGTATACTACACCTCGTTATTTTTTCATCTTACCAGCGAAACATAGCGACATCAAAGCGATTGATTTCGTACAAAATTGGTTTCAAACTCATTATAAACTCTATTTTCTATGTGAATGTTCACACGATCCAAGACAAATGCATGTCGCTCCACATGATGGTTACTCAATTAAAAAGGGGAGAGATTTCGTCGTGAAATATGCACCGTATTTAAGAACAACTCTACAAATTGTTCAAGTTCTACTTTCAGCCGGAGGCCTTGTCATTCCACAACTAGGAAATGCGGCAAAAGTTATCAATAATGCGGTACCATCAAGATTCCAAGAGCCTAAGTACTACAAAGACATGCAGCAGCAATTAGAAATGGTTGATAATTTACTCAATAAAGTCGACAACCAAGGAAATCATGCAGGCGCTTCAGTGACTGATAAACAGAAGTCAAAAGGAACACCATTGCAAGGTGCCGAACTACGAGAAATTCAAACGTATCTTGAACGTGTTGATGATAAGCGTAGCTTGGGAAATTTATACAGAATAGTCACTGCTGACGGTCATGTTCGTTGGGTCTGTCGCGAACACTATGATGAGGCTAGTTACAACAATGAAATGAGTAAATACATTAATGAATTTGAAGCCATGGGAGGTAAATTCAATAAAAAGACTAAAGAAGCATTTATAAATCAAGTGAATATTACTAAAGAAAATGTTGAAATGATGTGCAAAGCTCTTGGGAAAGGTTTTAATATTGTGAAGCTAATATGTCGAGAATGTTCAATCGACGAAGATCATCTCGAAAAACTGCTTGACATCATCATTAATCGTTCTTCAATTCGTTGTCTAAATATGGGTTCGGTTCGTGTACGAAACTTTTTTGGAATCACAAAGTATACTTGTCAAGAAATGGTCGCCGAGTTCAACAATCAGTCATTGAAAGTTCGCTTCTCCAACACTTATTATGATGGTAATACGCTCATGTTCACTCGGTTTCTGCTTCAAAACAAGATACATAAAAACTTGGATTTATCTGCAGCTGACTTTCTTTGGCATGAGTCCGATCTTCGACAATGTATGGAATCTAATGCAGTTGCGACTCGACTTGTTCTGGAGTACACAAACAACGTCAGCATTCTCAATGTTATATTTAATTTGAAAACAAATGCGTTACAACAACTGAAACTTACGCATTCGTTGTATGTGCCCTCAACTTTATCCTATTTCTGTGAAATGCTGAAAAAAACTAAAACACTTGTTGAGCTGGATCTAATGGATTATACTGGTTTTGACGACGAAGATTTTATTAATACTCTTTTGGAGATACTGAAAGGGCACAAGTCAATCAAATATCTCAATATACACATTACAAATGTACAACCATCTAATCAAAAAGAAGTAGATTTGATAAAATCATTGCAAAATGATGAACTTATTTCACGCCTTTGTATATCGTCGTCAGTTATCTCGTCTGAATTCACAGAAGCACTACTTCATGCTGGAGCAAAACATGATACATTCACATATTTAGAATTTTATAGTTGTCAAGTGGAAGACGATGATAAAGCAAAACTACAGTCGTTGTATGAAAATGGACGTTTGCATCAACTGAGTTTTTATGAAGAACCACGTTGGTATGTGTTGTTAGATGAAACAAATGGATTGGTAAATAAAGGTAAGAGAAGTAGCATCTCCACCGGCAATGGTAGTTCCAATTTCGTGCAGCTAGTCACTTTACTCTTAAGAGAGGATTTAGAATAGAATTGAATATATTTTAACTGAGCCATAGTTTAAAAACGGGCTCCATATTTCTGAATGGAAACGAAGACCCGCCTTTACCAGATGGTCTATAATAAACGGTGGTGTTAGTATTTCGTAGAGCCCGCCGGATCCAAGAATTTTTGGACCCGAACCCGGACCCGCCCAATTAAAATTTTTATATCATTAGTCGAACCCGGTACATTAAAAATTTGTGGACCGATACTACTGGTGATACTATATTTTGAAACTACTATGATGAAATTATTCAATTTAAAGTAGCGTATCTCACCTTTAATCTTTGAATTTTAATTTAACGTCAAAACAAGCATACCTTAAACTTTAACTTTGTAAAAATTCCAAAGTTAAAGTATATTTTTCAGAAAAAAATTGCAATAAATCTTTCTTTTGTTAAAATTTGTTTTCATCGGCGGGCCAGGGTCATTTTTTTGGCGGGGCAAAATTTATTAAAATGTGTGAAACACCTAGAAGAAAATATAGGCTTAAATTTTCTTCATATACTTATATTACCATGCTGAGAACTTTTTATTGTGTTCGTCCTGTTCATTTAATATTTATTATTTGCACCCTTAAAAAATGACAAAAGAAACAAAAACAACAATCGAAAGAAATATAAGTTACGTTGAATAAATCAACAACTGAACTGAACATATGTTCAAAAAATCTTAATATGGTATGCTTCAGTTGAATGTGAACATTATTTCGTTACCTTTTTCAAGTGAAAGATGTTTTCACGGAACCTGTTCTTTCTTATTTTGGAACCAATAAAAAAACATCATATCCGAAAAATGAATAAGAAACAAATGCTTTTGAAAACATAAGACTTTATTCAATCCTTCTTTTTTCAGTTAAAAGCCACCCTGAAGAGTAAATACATTTCTAAATTTCATTAAAAAATCCCAAAAGAACAAATAAATAACCAATGCTTATGCCAACTCTAGAAAAAAATGAACAAATCGCATCTATGAAGAAAAATCTTAGGTGGGGCAACTGCCCTACTTCGCCCCAATGGTGGCCCGCCGATGTTTGTTTTTAATGAAGGAAAAAACTTCTAAACAAAAAAAAAGTTTTCATGAAAAAATCTATTCGAACTGTAACTCTTTCGACCGCAAATTGAGGGTGTGGGTCTACTTTTTCTCGTCACCCATACTTTCTTAGTTCGACTTTTTAGAGATGCACTTTTTTTGATCTCTTCATCATCAACATGAAGTTTAGTGTGGTTCAATTTTTTCCACTGCTATTGTCATTGTTAAGACATGATCAGACATACTATTTGTTACTGGTCAGTTGTTGTGATATAGAAATAATAAAGATTATTATCTAATTTTAAAAACGATAACTATCCGTAGATTGCGAACGAACAAGGGAAATGCTCAAAAATGATTGACGTAATACATATATGATGAGAGAGAGAGAAAAATACTAAAACTACATTAAGAGGAACAGTCATTTAAAAAACATTTTGAATTGGAGAAATGTAAAGAATTCAAAAAAAAAAGAATTGTTTATATTCGGTATTAATTACGTCATTTTTTTGACTGATAATATTATGGTCAATCAAATATTTAAAGCTATGATTTTATTCAGATATATTAAGTTCATCTCATTATGTTTGTCAATCTCATAGCTAGTATATTCAGCAGTGATATAATTATGTAATTATAAATATCATTTAATGACAGTCGAACCATTCTACGTAGTAATGTTCGAATTACCATATATCAGAATAGGAACATCAAACGAAATAACATCGGAGATTGATAGTTGTTTGGTCTCAAACACTATGAAGTAGTTTGTCGCCATATATTTTTATGATTATGTTGAAACTCGTGAAATTGTTGTAATCTAGATATTTGTTTTTGACATGATTTTTCATTTGAATTCATATAGGTAAACATTCAAGGAAGAACCTCTTTATTGATATTGAGATAACCCATAATCATGGTAAAGCGAACGGTCAGTTATGAAATATACTATAGCTATTTATTACAAGAGTTTCTCTTATATTACTTTTTGTACTTAAAAAGTAGAATATCGTCAGCACATTTTATACATATAATACGAAATGGATTAATCATGACTTTATGCCAATTCTAGAATAGAATGATAATAAAAATACATTAAAAAATTATGGTAATTTGTAAAAATATTCTGGGCTTTCTTACGAAATAATGCTCTAAAATAATAGACTAGCTTTCTTATTAAGATAGAAAATAAATCAAACGAATAAGATACAATTAGATAGAATAATCAATGCTCTACCAAATCATAAAAGCACTTTTAAATAATTCTGATGTTTCTTAGAAATTGAACAACAATAAATAAATCCTCCTGGAGAAGTACGCCTTTCTTTAAAGATAAGTGTGATCAAGCACAAATAACTTGAATATTATTATCATACAATTCTTTCTTCATATGATATATTCTCAATAATAGATTTTTTTTTCTATATGCCGAGATGTTTATAAAGCAGAAGAAAATATGCAAAAATCTTAATTACATATGTATCAGCAAAATAGTGTTGTCCAAAAACTTTTTTTTAAATTTTCATTCTTAGATTGTTTTCAAAATTTCTATTCTTCTTTTTATTCCTCTTATTTGAGAAAGCTGTTAGTATAGTGCTTTATTGTAAGATAATAATGTGAAAATACTTAATTTCTTTTTCAGTGAACAAAATTATCCAGTTTTTCTATTGATAGAATGCGTTTTGATTTTTGTTTTCAGTATTATATGTGATGTAAAGTATTTCTTAACACTGCATAAAACTCCAGCGATTGGATAAACAAAACTTCGTACGACATAAGTAGATATTTAATGAAAATATCTTGATATATCTTTTCCACAGAACATTAATCTTGAGATTAGATTAGAAATATTAACATAGCGATGTGTGTTTCGACCACTTTCGAATTAAAATGATTGAATTGTAAGATTGTGTTTAATGATTTTCGATAATGTCATAAAATATACTTTAAACAATCTCTTTTTTTCTTTTTATAGTATCATATAAAACCCTTCTGGTCTTGAGTGGAGTAAAATTGAGTCATCCATTACTCCATCGTACCTTCTAACTAATGAAACGGGCTGTTACTTACTAATGATCGGATCGGTTCGAAGTCTTTTAAACCGATTTATTCTACTGATTAGAGAAATAAAACAAAAAAGAAACATAGATTCATTCAGTATTTGTATTAGAAACACTGCACCTATGTTAACAACAGTATGTTGCTAATAACAACAATATAAATATATGAATGTGTCGCAGGATAAATTTAAATTAAGGAAAACTTAGTGTTAATTTCAACTTTGACTGAATATTTTCTAGTAAAAATGAATGTTTTAATTTTTCCTATATAGGAGAATTTTAAATATTTCTGAAAATGTAATATTAACTTTATTCTTTTTATATTTCAAAAATGCAAAGAATTAAAGTACACATTTGAGCGTGGTTTCATTTTCGATGAATGACATTTAGTACCATACCTTATTCAGTGGCGGCGGAACCATTAGGCCGTGGTAGACTCGATAAAATATTTAAAAAATTCTATTATTGTTTATTTTTCATATTTTCCCGACCAATGACATATTCTTAAATTATCACTTATATTTCAGTTACTTCTAACTTGTGTCCAATGATATATTTTTTGAATTTCAATAGCATGTAATAAGGTTGAAATTGAATTATTGCTTCTTAGTATACGGCAGCTGAATTTCGTTTTGAAAAATTCTATTTAAAATAATTTTTGAATTTTATCACCGTCACAAAAACCAGGTAAATTTCAGAATTTAATCACAGTTTACTGGAAAAAATCTCGAGATAGTAGCTGTAATAGAACCTGCTATTGAATCGGTAACATCATTGGTTTTTGCAGGTTTTTACTACATTGCTAAAATACTTGAAAAAATATTACCCCTTTCCTATCGCGATACCAGATGAACAAAATCGTGGTTTCTCTTTCTTTCACAATAAAATTCGAAGCCCACTAGTTTTAATAAAAGTTCATCTTTTATTAAAATTCTATTTAACAATTCAAATCATAGACCGAAACGAACCAAAAAACATCCGACTCGACTCAAACAACGAATTTTCAAAAGCAGATGTTTTCAATAATAATAATAATTGACAATAACAGGTTTATTCAACAACAACAAGAATCATAGATATCCGTGATCAATCAATTCGTTGTTGTGTGACTAATAGGTGAATAGAACTTGATGTATTGAATACAATGAAAGTCATTGTATGTCATTCATTATTGTCTATTGCAAGTCGTCAATTCATCGCCTTTTATTTGTCGTACTTTTTGTTCGACTAATTCACTGCAATGAGTGAGATTTGTATAATTTTAATGTAACAACTGATAATAACAGCCAATGCCGAGAAACAGTTGAAAGAAACAATGAAAACTTTTAAAAAGTCGAGTCTCTCAAATCAAACTCGACTCGACTCGGTTTCGGTCTACGATTCAAATGATACTAAAAGTGACTCAGAATTATGAGCAGGAATGGCATAGTTAAAACCAATAAAAAAGACTTCGCTATCATATTGATCAAGCATCTGTATCGATTTTATTTTAAAAAATTAAGATAGGAAATTTTTAGCTCTGGAATAGCTCTATTTCTTGTTAGATTATTTTTTCCCGTGCTTTTTTCGATGACTCTTTTCAACTACTTGGTTAGTTTCTATGGTCTCGGATACAATCATGCAGGCAGTTATCCCGTTTATAAAAAATCAAAATCTAGAAAGAAAATCAACAAACATACTTTTCAATTCATTCACATTCATAAATAAAAAATTGAGGCTGGAATCATATTGACATGAATTAAGTAATTTTTTATAGTAAATTTTGATCTGTCACAAAGAAAAAGAAATTAGAATATTCAGATCATAATCAATTTGAATCGTGTATTTCTAGATGCATAGTCATTATCAGAGAGCGAATCGAACCGGCTTTTTCTGATTTGAGTTCTGTTCCGTTTGA